ACATTACGGATGGAACAAGCGCACTGATCTATTTTTATCTCTGTGAGGTCATATGTTGATTAAAAAAAAGGAGGCAGGTGACCAAAAAAAAACACCTTGCTCTCCCAGTGTTTACTTGAGACACTGGTTCTAGAGCGAAGCCTTCCTCTTTAAACGCACGTCACAATGAAAGACATGTCGCTGCCAGAATGACAGCACTTCTGTAATACCCATGACGCCTGCTGCTGCTGGGCTGGGCAGCTCAAAAACACAATGCAGGCCAAATCAATGCTATACTAGTTCTGTGACGTAGCACTCATTGTTTACAAAAGACATTTGAACAGCGTTGGCTGCTAACATTGTTTCTTGACATCATTGTCTATTATCATATTAGGCCTCAGTCAGAGGTCAGAGGGCAGTATTTCATATCTGCGGACAGATGTTATTTAAGTGAGTCTGTTGCTGCAGCTTTACAAATACAAATTGTTTACTTAAATACACATTGTCTAAGTGTGGCTGATACAAACAAAATAGTTTTTTACTAAAAATCTCCATAAAAATAACATCAGAGAGAGCTGTGTTTAGGCACGTATACTGTACGTTTGACGGTGTTACGATAGGAATGCGGTAAAGCTGTTGTGTTGATCTATTTTGTACATTATTTAAAAAAACAAACACTGTACATCGTTTTAATAATAATTTGATTATAATTCCTAATTAACATTGGCACCATTCATTTCTCAACCCTTTAAAAAAAAAGGGATTTTACCACATTAACGACACCCAAGCCAAACAGAGGTGGAATTCTAACTGCTCTTCCCTTCATTTGAAAGCTTCTTAACAGGCTTGACTCACTATCTGTAGTGGAGTTTGCATGTTCTACCTGTGCCTGAAAAGGTTTCCTCCAGGTGCTTCAGTTTACTTAAAATCATATACTTTAATATGGACTATGGATGAAAAGCCAGAGCGCTTTCCAGTGTAATTACAGCAGGAGTTGTTCATTAATACACATCGTCCCACTCTAATTAATACATTAGAAACCCCCTTTCTGATACATAAAAAAATTTCACCTTCAGATAAATAAAGCACAAGAACACAAAATGCCGTTCAATTGCATGTAAACGGAAAGATCTATGAGTCACATCTTAAATAATCTGGATAGCCTTGATAGAGACTAAAGAGCAACAATGAGATTGTGTATAATACAGGCCCAATTTTATATTATTATATTAATATTTTCTGCATATAATAACTGGACTCCAGGACACAGCGAGCCTGCTCTCACTCACATTGCAGATGCATGTGTGTCTGCTGCTGAGGCATAATGAGATTTACATTCCTGGCCTGGTTTTCACATAGCATGCGTGTTTCTCTGTGTAAACCAGAGAGACTTGCAAAGGTAGTGTAAAACCAGGCATTAGTGCACGCATAGAATAACAATGGAAGGAAACGCTCAAACCTATCGAGCGGGGTTGTCAAAACTTCAAAACGATTCAGTATATTTATCATTTCAATCATTCTAATTTAGCATAGGTTAAGTAGAGTCAGCAGATCTGTCCTGGGTGCTATACTTTTGACATTCCTGATATACAAGTTGTATGTTTACAACTTAAATGCATGAACTAACTCTTACAGTACGAGCTGTTGTTTTCACATGCAGGGACAAAGAGTCTCATTCTGCTGGGAGCACAGGGACAGAGAAACATGAGAGCCACATTCAGGCTTTGCACGGGGAGAGAGAGGTCTTTTGTCGTCTCCTTGGACCACCTTTCCTCCGCTCTTCATTTCCTGCCAAGTATACGGATAAGACGACACCTCTATAGGCTTCAAATGTAAAAGAACTCAGCCTAAGGTAGAGGATAGACGATGCAATTTAGGGAAGCCTCAATAAAAGTCCGGCCTAGCACCATCTAGTTTCAGACTCATTTCATATTCTATCAATTACAACCATCAACAACAGCAGTTAACTCCAATCACCACAATAATACCAGAATATCAATTCCAAGTGACTGTATACAGTTTGTAGTCTTACCGAGTTAATTAAGTCATTACAACACTATCCCATATTTTGTTGCCAAACCCTTACTGCCTGTGGTATGGTACTCATGTAGCCCCACTGTCTACATACTGTATGTTTACTTCTGTACCTGCTTTCTGTTTAATAAGTGTGGTGGTTTTGTTTGAATTGTGTTATTTAAAAAAAAGATGCTGAGTTCAAAGAGACTAGCAACTCTTGCTGTATAATGTCCATTGTATTTTTAATCCAATGAAAAAGGCCAAATATTATGATTGGCATGTATTATTTGGGGACACATATGAAAGATGTGCATTTAGTTTGCGTAATTTCCGGCCGATAATCTGCTACTTTTTTCAATTTCATGAACCGCGTTGCCTTTAGCAATGTAGCGGCCCATGTATGTTTTTTATTGTGGTAGAGTTGGGCTTTTAGTTGTATTGTTGTTGTAGTGTTGTTTTGATGTACAATAAAACTAGGATGTGAGGATGTTATTAAATTAACCCACTCAAACATCAGCTAAAATGGTATCATGCTTGTGGCCTTGGTGCACTTTGAATAACCAAATGTCCCTGTGCAGGCTGCAGGTCAGAGTTGCCCATCAGGAAACACCAGACCCATTCATACAAAGCTGTGCCGCTAGCATGCAAATCTGACACCTAACAGAGAGTGTGGCAAGAAAAACATGAGTGCGTCCCCAAACAGTGCGGCTGGGTATTTGGAATATTGCATTTATAACCTTCTGCTTGTTACAGACATTAGCAGAAGTTACAAGGCATTTACTATTCAATCCAGCCTTGTTTACTTGGACATTTTGAAATCCAAAACAAAATAGTAGTAGTGGCCTCTTCAGAGAGCTTCTGATCTTTTACACATTAAACAGCTCACAGCTTATGGCCACATGATCCATTATGCACTGTATTTTAGTATCTGAAGAAGCCAACATGGGTCAGTGAGAGCTGATGCCATGTCTGAGTGCCAGGGATTGGTTACTTGCAAGAAACTGCAATTAATCACATTGAGCAACACTGGTGCAGGGGGAGCATTCTCGCCTCACAACAATGGGTTCGTGCCAGCATGCGTTTCCTCGGGTGCTCTGGTTTCCTCTACCAGCCAAACATGAAATAGAGATCTTGATTAAATATAGGTCCAATAAACATGTAGTAATTAAAACGAGACCAGTGCTACATTATTATACATGCAGCCAACCTTGGGCTGTGAGGTAAGATTCCTACTCAATCAATCAGCCTCAAATTTCAAATTCAATTTGTAACTCCTCCATTTCTTACTACATCTGAGGTTTAATATACAATATATTTAATGTTTAATATACAGTGTGCCCTATTTTTAAACTATCATTTATTTCAGTGAGATGTAAAAACAATAGAATCAAAATGTGAACAAGGATAGATCCTCCTACGTGTAGAGAAAGCATCAACACCGTGATTTATATACGACACTTGTTACGGTCAACCACATATTTTGTGCCAAGTTTGTCAACGTAGCAAGTGACCAAAGGGGAAGTTGTAAATCTGAATAGTTGCGGACACATTTGTTCAGAGAGTGGAATGTGAGGAGGAAGAGGAGGCAAGGAGAAGGGAAGTAGATGCTAAGGAATCAGAGATAAGCCAAAAAGGACAGGAAATACAACATACAGGGAGCACAGGGGACTTTTCTTACATTTAACCAATTAACTACACCTATTAACCACACTATGAAAATAATAAGTTCTACAAAAACTCCACTCAGGAAGACGGGATTTACTTGCTGAGAAGCAAGACTGAAAAGTTCTGGGATGACCTATAATAGGCAAATTTGAAAGTTATGAACATGTGACTCTGAGATAAATTAGCTAACATCTGTGTGAGAAGTTGAGCTAACCAAAATAAAAGAGGAAAAAGAGGCAACAACGTAATCCAGAGCTTTGTGAAGGAAAGTGAACGAGGGGAATATTGTGCTTCTACAGTCAGTGAAGTGAATGGAAAAACATGTCAATGGAACACAAGGAGGGAGCCTGTGGATAAACAGAGCTGTGACTCACCCTTTCTGGGATGAGAGAGAGAAGAGGGTGGGGTGTGGGGTACCCAACTGCCTCCACTCCTGTCCTGTCCAAAAAACACCAATGTAGGCATTCATGCGTGCTCACGATCCCACTCATGTGTCAAAGCACCAGGACAAGCCGCCCATTGTCCAGCCAAAGTCCTGCTAGAGGATTGTATTTATAGGATTTTGGGATTTCAGAACTTGAGAGTGCTGTGTGAAAATGCTTTGTTTTGAACTTTTTCATTGTTTGAAAAAAGAAAATTCAACTTTTTTCAAGAGAAGACCTTCCTTTTTTAACATTTCCAGCACTTACATTTCAATGAATCAAGCTCAACAGTCATCGAGTTCAACTGTGTTGAAAAGCCCTCTGGAGACGACAAGATAAAACATGCTTCTATGGATAGTATTGAAAATAATGTCAGTCAAATGTAGTGGTGTATTTTTTGACATCAAAGCATTCTGATGGTTCAGGCAGCATGAAAGCCCACTGTCATGTGCTCTTCATATCCGTCTGACTAACAAGCCTCCAGAATGGACACACTGTTGTACAGTAATCCTCAAACCTCAGTCAGCTGATGGCATCTACCCACTTTGTAGTCCATGCTGATACAGTCATATCAAACAATAGCAAATTTGGATAAAGCGAACTGAAGTGATACAACATGTAAGTTGGAAATATTGTACTATTGATAAAATGATAATGTTCCACAAAACACTGGTCTAAACTCTTCCAGAGAATCATCAACACTGCATCAACACTGCAACACTGCATCAACTAGTAGCTTATTAGTTTGTAGAAAGTAAATACAGGGAACTAGATAAAGGGAATTATCATTTTGAAATAAGGGTAAAGACCAAGTAATAATAATTTATAAAACACATAATATACTAATGATATTAACCAGGAATGAAAAAGGAATGAATATGGACATCGCAGGTTTACCTGAACTCACACACTTCCTACCTTGGTATCAACAATGGAACAGGCAATCTGTTTGATATAAGCCAGGTCTGCAGTCTGAGGCATAAAGACAGACTCCCTGGTCAAGCCAATCTGGATGAAGAAGGACACCCCTGCTGGAACCGGGGCCCCACTGGGCATCACTGCCGCCCCAGGGACCTGCCCTGACAGCGCGTCTATGAGAGGACTGGGGGGGCTCTGTGGGATCACAGCTGGAGCTGGTGGAGTGTTCCCCCCTGGAGGGAAGAACATCATCACCCCGGGGGGCATACAGGGGCTCGCATTGGCCATCTACAGTCCAGAAGAGTCCACTCTCCTCCAAGTCAGAGAGAAGAGCCACGGGCCATAGAGGAGCTCACACAGCAGGGGTCCTGTCCACTCCCTCCGCACGATCTCCGTGTTCAGGAAGTACAGCACAACAGCTTCTTCTTCACATCTGTGGCTTCAACAAGGCGTCAGACACCGACACTGTGGCTCTGCCTGCTCCGGTCTCCCACCTTGACTTTGTTTTGTTTAGTTTTTTTGATGAAGTTGTTTTCCACACAGGAAAAAGTCCAAATTGGATTGTGACACTCCCAACGGCAGAAACAGCAGCAACAATGCAGAACTTTGTTATTCTTTATCCAGTCCAGAGTAAGTAACAAAATGGCCACCTTAAAACAGGAAACTGTGAGCATGGAGAGAGCGCGCAGACTGCACTCTTTTTACATGTCTCACCTCTTTCAGTTTCAGCCCCAGATCAGATCAGACTTTCTGCTCAAAAAACAGCAGCGCGACAGACCGCCCACCTCCTCCCGCTCCAAGAGGAAGTGTGCAGACTGACAGGCTCTCTGGCCAATCAGCATTCAGAACTCCTCCTGTTTCCTTCTAGATCCACTTACACTGCTTAACAAAAGCTTTCTGACCGCCTCGAGCACATTTCTCGGCTCCAAACTTGTCCAAAACGACAGAGTTTACTATTACATTGAGGTTAAAGTACATTGTATATGTTGCACATGGCCCTTAGTGCAGTACTGACCATCGCCACAAGATGGGAGCCCATCCTTATGACTAACTACTGTATAGGCCTGGTGTAATAATAACCTGTTAATATTAATAACCGTGGACATTAACTATGGTTATTAACCCTGCTTGCCCTGCACTTTGTTAAAAGGCTGAGATTTTCAAACTACAGGGAAAAAATACACAATAAAACAGTTTACTGTACAAAATCATTTCTTTTTCTAAATGACGTAACAGAGGGCCATTTACAAGACATTTGATACAAGCCAGGTTGCAGTTCAAAAATATATTAAACAATATTACAAAAGACGGTCTGTAAAAGGTTATAGTTGAAGGAAATAACTTTAATTACGGCATATGATGTACAAATTATCACACAGTGATAAATTTCTAATACAAATAAAAGAAACATTAAGTGTCCTTTACCTTGGCCTCAGACTGATTTGTTTATATTCTGTTTTCAACGTTTTTTCCCCCCATGCTTCATTAAAATAATACATTGCCAATCTTAGATACATTTGTTGTAGGCCTTTAATGGAGGTTGAGCTACTGAATGATACTAACTTATTCTTATTACACCTTAATATTTCAGATCATTTACAAAACAAGAAATAATGTACATTGACAGCAAGTAGTGGCGTGTTTATCCATCATTTACAACCACTATAACATGTATCCTATGTCATCTACATAGTGTGTTGGACACAAAATACAGCAATCGCCTCTTTTAGATCAGAATGGATTCATGTACCCTGTTTATAAACCACCGCAAACTTAACACAAGAAACAAACTGGAATCTTAAAGGAGACGGAAATTATATTGATAAAAGGATATTTGTTCATAGTAGCAACATTAGACTTTGGGTATTTTCAATGACAAATGTATCACTGAAAGAATTTTGTAAGCTCCATTTCACCTTGTTTCTAAATAAAAGTATTAACTAGCATTTTCCTAACAAACGGGTAAAAAAAAAAGAAATCCATGAAAAATATATATGTTGCTGAATGCATATAAATTAATAAATAAGTTTTACTTGGGACAAAAGACATTCTGAAATCAGGTTCAATGTTTAGGTTGAGATGAAGATGGTTTCAGTCTGTACATATTCATTGTGAATAAGTGACCACATAATAGAATGGTTTTAAATATGTATGCGACAGTTCACACCAACACACTTCCCTGATTCTGACTCAACATCATCTTTTGTAGCAACATGATTTCATTAGTGCGTACATCGACACTTGGCCCGTTAGACATGGAATATACACCCAATCATATTCTTGGTTTCGTAGCCAGTAATAATCACATCTCTACAATAATCAGATAACATAAAAACAGATCCACTGTGCATGTAAACATAGCCACTGTGTTGCCTATTTTCATCCAAAAAGAATAAAATAATTTTGCTAAATAAAAGCAACAAAACAAACAACAGAAAAACAAAATCACACAACTGACTTTGAAACAAGTCATGTTAAAAGAGGCAGAATCCTGTGGGGGCGTAACACTTGGACAAACTATGATTCATGTCTTGGCAATAGAAGTAGAAATTAAAGCTTTTTGTTAACACTGGTTAACGATCTACTGTCGCTACAAGATAAAAACAAAACATTCTCCAGCATCCTCCTGTAACAACACACATTCATTCAGGAGTCTTTGGAATGTAGTGCATTGAATGTCAATGCAGAGATCTATCTGGTGTTACCACTTTTACAGCTGCTGCCCTCAGCCATGCCCTTCATGCTGACAGTTTGCATGATGGCAACAAACAAATGTAACAAAAAGACAATTCTGAACAGACTAGCCATCTAACTGCATTTCCACTTTGTGATTCTCTTATCTAAGCTATAAGCGCTCAAACACACAGTGCTTTGCAAAACCTATCTGCCCATGATAGATGTAGTGTAAAAAGTATTAGTCTAAACTGAATCATTGAAAAATTGAGCAGCCTAGATTATTTAAAAAACATTATTACAGTATAAGAAGTTGTTGAGGCATCACAAAACGGTGAGCTCGAGAGCCGGTGTCCTGTGGTGCCAGCCCAGCCAGTGGGCTATAGGACAGTTGTGTGGGACAGTGTTTAAGCAGGGCAAAATTGTCCATGAGATTCTTCGGTTGTAGTTCTAAGACTCTGGAAAAAAAAAAAATGAACAAAACAATAATAAAAAGATTACAGAAAAAATTAACACATCATAAGAAAACTAAATAAGCTGCTCTCAAAACTAAAGAAAACTACATTCTGACACACATTCTTCAGTTCACATTCCATAGGCACTTCCACTGCCACATCTTGTTCTCCCATCTCACCAGACAAAGATCTTGGCAAGTGCATCTGCGCCGGCGCTAGCAATAAAGGGTTGGGAAGAGTGGAAGGCCACATCATGTATGGCCTCGTCGTGTTTCTTCCTGTGGGCCGTGATCTCCTGTACGCACGTCCTGTTGTCGAGCATCCAGAGCCGCACAGAGCAGTCATGGCCTGAGAGGCGGAGACAGAGACAACAACACTTCATCCACAAATCACACACATGTTAAAGAAGCAAAGGGATTTCAAGCATTACAATTGTTTTATATAATACAATTGTCCAAGAGTGGTCAAAGAGATAGAAGATTTTACAATGGCTCTGAAAAAAATGATGAAATGTCTTGATTTTTGAAAACAATATATATGGCCACCTTTGATACACTTTGATGTTTAGATCAAAATACTTACTTCCGGAGATTAAGTAAGTGCCTTTTGGGTCTGTAGTGAGACAAGTGACTGCATCCAGATGAGCCACCATTGAATGGACAACTTGACCTGTGGAAACAAACACAAACAGTGAGCTCAAGTTAAAGTTAATTTTTCACTATCACAGTTAAAGCATTTAAACTACATTATTTAAATACATGCTATGTCAAAGACCAGATCTATCAGTAAAGTGTGAGCAACATTAAGCTGTAAATACCGGTCTTGTTGTCTGCAAAGCGGATTGTTCGATTCTCATGTGCCGTGATAGACACTGCTTCCAGAGGGTGGCTGACAACACGGTGTATCAATTCACTGCCTGCATAGACGTGTTATGTAATCAGAAGGTTAAAAAAAAAACTATTATAAACATTTCGTACTATCATTGCATTGTTTCAGTCTTACCATCCTTGGTCTCTGTCTGTAGTGAAATAACACTCTGCTCTGTATTGAGGTCATAAATCAAAGTTTCACCGCCATCGTAAGACACCACAATTTGGTTCGGGTCAGTAGCCACAAAAGCTACAGATGTGGGTGTGCCATGCTCTGGAGGAAAACATGTCATAATAAATATTAGAGTTTGTTTTTAACTATGGCTAAAAATATGCATATAAGCGTGGAAATACCCCTTTCTTTATTGAAAACAGACAAACAGGGAGAAGAGTTTTGAAGATTCCAGATTCTAATGGTGCCATCTGCTGAACATGAGGCCAAACGATCGTGCGCTCCAGAATAGGTGAGACCCCACACACTGTCCTCGTGGCCAGAGAGGACACTGCTCTCGATGCTGGGATCTAAAACAAACAAATGTCATCAGACGGTAATATTGTCGATCAATAACTATGCGTCATCACTGGGACTTCTCTTTTTTTTTTTTACCATAGTTATCGTATGGATCCACATTAAGGTCTGGCATCTTCCAGCAGCGGACTGTTCCATCCAGACCACCACTGTAGCAGGTGTCTCCATCGTCTCCAATTGTGAGAGACAGCACAGCACCACTGAAATCAGATATAAATACAGATCTCTGCTATAATTAAACTCTTGATAGTATTATTGATACACTACTCTGCGCACCATCGCTGTAACAGACTTACCTGTGTGCCCTGAATGTATAAATAGGTTCAACGTCCAAAGCTGCATTTCTGTGAATCAAAATAAATGTTTCAGTGTTATAAGTCGTCCTTTCACTTTAGTTTACCGATGCTGCAATAGCATAGAGCTTAAATGTACATACTTTTTTGAGTGCATGGCCTTGTTCAGGTTCCACAGTTTAAGTGTGCCATCTTCAGAAGCGGTCAGCAGCACTGGCTGGCTCGGGTGGAAGGTCATAGCACGAATGGCATCAAAATGGCTGCGTAGAGTAAAACGTGGGTTCCAAGTTTTCTTAAATTCTTCTCTGTTGTCATGCATCTGGTATGAAACAGTATTCCGCATAAATGAAGTGTATACAGGGGCATCATTAATACATTTGTTTTCTTGTATATTTGGTTGTAATTACATCCAAAGAGAGATCATTGTCATTGGCAACAGTGAGATCTGCCAGTTCACCAAGGTTCATATCACCTCCACCAACAGCATCCATAATGAACACATCCGAGGAGAAGCTGAGGGTGCCACCTTTAGGTGTGGACATGGAAACACAAATTGTTAAACTGGATTTAAATACAAACTAAAAGAACATGAACATCATAATTCATCTGGATTACTTGATCAAAGTAATTCAAAGACAGTACGTTAAACAATATTGCTTGCAGTGTATATAAACTATATATATATATATATATATATTGGATTGTATTTTGGGAAATCTTACCTTCCCCTGCGCGAGACTGTCCTGAAACAGAGGGGGGTGGGGCAGGTTTAGGGGGGAAGTCCGGCATCATGCCTTGTAACTTGTTCCTGTGGTTCTCTGAACCAAGCAAGAGCAGAAAACACAAAATATCCAGTCACAGGTATTGTGAAAGAAGGACCATCATCAGATGGAGCCACATTGACAAAATACAGAAAATGGAAGGCAATAATAAGTATGATTTTGGGATGTTTAAAAACTTTCAAAGCCAGTTGATTACATTAAAGCACACAGCTAAAGCAAAAGATCCCGGCACAGATGACTGAGGCGACATGCACAAGTGGATAGAGATTACATGATGTACATCTACAAGCAGCAGTCACAGCTACACAGTGCTATAGGCTGACAGCATGTGAAACAGGACAGAGACAGGTGGTTGGAAAAAGAGGCTGGTTTTATTGACACAAAAAGATGCTAGGACACACAGAGAAGCAGGAAGGATGGTGTGCAGTGAAGGGGTGCAGGGAGAGGAGAAGGGATTCTGAGGACAGACAGACAGGTGCTAGGTGCACTGGTGGCAGTGATGCTGCTGTGATGGTGCTGATGAGGTTGCTATGGCAACATCGTACCTAACTCCCGTCCATCCCCCGAGATTCGTGCCTCTCCTGCCCCCTCCCCATCCTCCCCGGATCCCAGGAAGTCAAATTCATTCTGAGCATCTTCCGAATCGTCTTCATCCTCCTCGTCCTCTGGGTCCAGGTCTGTGGTCATGGGTTCTGAGCCCATCTAGAAGGAGCACATTTACACATTAGACATGCGCATTTCAAAGCATTCCTCAGCTTTTGACTCAGTCTTACAACCTTTACTCGAGACTTTTTATTCTTGCGTGGTCCATCAATGCAATCAGTCGCTATGCCCTGGAAGTCATCTTCTTCATCGCTATCGTCTTCATCATCATCCTCACAGCCATGCAGGAAGGGGATTTTATCAAGAACAGAACCACCCATGTGCTCCTGAGAGGTCTCTTTACCTGCGTTCCTGAAATAAAATTTTAAATGGACATATTTACCTAATTAATTTTATCTCTAATTGCAGACTTATTCAAATGTTTTCTCATATTTGACCGAGCGAAACATTTTTACACTGATGTAAAACAAATGGTGAATACGTTTCTCTGTAGGTCATGTTGATGTGGATGTAAATCTGATTGTGATGAGTCACTGCACGTCACTGTAGTTTCCCAATTTTTAACTAAATCAGACCTCGGAAAACTGTGGCCCTAGGGCCACATACGGACCATTTCTATCCAGCCCAATGACCTTTCACAGCGGTTAACAGAACATCCTTAAGTCCTCTGTGCTGCAGTGTCGTGGCTGTCAGGGGCTCCGCGCCTGGGAGTCATAATAGTAACAGTACAATATATAGTACATTATCTCACCTTTTGATTTGTTCCTCTATCTGTCTGACAAGTAAAGACTCTCCGCCTGTCCGTGGCTCGGGCTCTGAAAAAGTGTCACTGGGTAGAGGTCCGTTTGCTTCTGGACTGCTTCGTCCAAGGAGGGAGCGCACACGCTTCGATCGCATGTCCAGAATAGTGTCTGAATACCCCACCTCTTCTAAATATCTGTAACAGAAAAACAATCCAGCAATGAGTAGAGACTACATTTGTTAAAATGTAACGTTTATTTTTGGCAGTGTAATTTTAAGTTGGGGGAAGCAGCTGATGTCTTACTTGCGTAATAGTTGACGTCCCTCTTTCCAGGACATCTGATTGGCTGGCTCAGAGTCTGACTCTGCTGGTCCATTGGGAACTAAGAAAACATATGGTTCAATGATGATGCAACTAAAGAGTGCTAGAGGAAATATAGTGGCACATGTTCATATGAAATTATTTTATTTTCAGATCCGTTATGTAACTGAAATACCTTGGTCTGCTTCTGTTTCTGGCTTCTTGTCAGTCGGGCTCTGATCATTGCCAGTCTTCAGTTTCTGGTGTTTAGCTCTGCAGTTTGTAAAATATTCAATAAGAACCAAACTCAAGAGAAACAATGTACACTTATTATACATAACAAGAGAGTACCTTTCTTGTTTAAGGGCATATTCCAACATTTTGATGCGTCTAACCAAGTCCTGCTTCATATTCTCTTGTCCTTTTCTCTCACCTTGTAGAAACGCCACCTGAGCCTGAAAAACACATGACATAACACATGAATATTCATTTATTGGTGGAAAGTCAAATACCTCTCTATTGCAATTTACTCTTGAACACATTTGATTCATTGTATCTTTCCGTTTGGTTCCAATTGGAGGAGACCATTGGTCAACCTAAAGGCAGTGACATCTGCACCTAATTGTAACGTGACTAATTGTAACGTGACTAATTGTAACGTGACTAAGTGTAACGCACCTAATTGTAACGCGATTAATTAGATTATTGCACATTCTTATCATTGGTCACGAATGCCAATGTTATAAATCAGAAGAGTCTGCATCCTCTGTCTGCAAACAGAAGAGCTGTATTATCCTTAAACACAGAACTTAAAACCAAAGCAATTCTCATTCCTTTGCTTTCCTCATGCACCATGGCCAGGAAATATTTTTGAATCACCAACAGGCCTCAACCTGTATGTTTCAATAATCATTCTTTATCCATGTGTTTCACTGTTTGATGAATCATTGAGTCATTTCTTTCTTCTAAAAAGTTACGAGGTGGTAACATCCTTACTTTGTCATAACGCTAAGGCATTTATGATCTGTGTTTTGAAAACGGCTTAATTCTTATTTAAAACAATGGCCACGATGGGAAAAATCTTGTGAATAGTACACGATACTTCCACTTTTTGATTGTATGTTCTGTTAGAGAAGTGTAATTAAGGTTGCCAGTGGGGCGACAGTAGCTCAGTTGGTAGGCCTTTGGGCCTGAAGGTTGTGGGGTTGATTCCACCGCGAGACCTGCTCCCACTGATGTCTGCTGTCATTGCGTCCCTGAGCAAGACACTTAACCCCACTTTTCCCAAAGCCCCCACTAAAAGATCAAGGCTGTGTCATTGCTGACGGAGCAGCCATCTTCCTGTGGACTCACCACCTGCAGGATCAGTGAGGATCAGAGGGACTGGTGCTATGAGCATTGGGTGGCAGCTCTGATCGTTATCCCCCAGACCCAGAAATGGATTAATAAAGGGGAAGATAATGAATGAATGAAAGGTTGCCAGTTTCAAAGACTAAATCTACGCCTCAGCACAATGAGGCGTAGATTTAATCATTGCCTTAGCACATGACCATGTGTAGCTGAAGACAGACATTGACGACACATGGTCCTTGAAGAAACCACATTAATTGACTGATCACAAAAGATTAATGAGATCAAGAGAGACCAAACTAGGTATGAGTTTGGGCATAAGTAACTAGGCATAATTTTGCATTTTTGTTTTCTTTTGAAAATGTGGTGATCACGCTTGAGCACAGATAGAACATATTAAATGGATTGTATTATTATTTCCCCAAAAAGAGAACACATTTGATAGATCACAATTTATTTCACACTTAATTTCACGTTTCGCCACAGCCCTCATTACGACTACTACTACAAAAGATTCCGCAGAAATGTATGAGGCCACTTGTAAGTGAAAAAATATTATACAATTATGTTAAAGTACTGGAACCTAAAACAATTGTTCCCAGCACCAAACCCAGGACGCCTGTCACTAACAGCTACACACTCAAATAGCAATGGAGAAAGAAAGTATAACTAAACTGCTTTTCCAGCCCCACCTGTCTTTTATGTTTGCAAAAAAAGAGGCCTGCATATGTCACTGAGATACAAGACCACAGGTGGACCTTGTAGTGTGGTCTACAGCAGGACTGGGACCTTGTTGTTTAAAGTCTGAGGAAGCAGCATGTGCTGCCTAACAGTTATACAACACTGCTTTAATGTTGTATGAAGCATTCACGTGGTTTCAAGTGCCTTTTTAAATTGAAAGGGAAAAACTTTATAACTTCAGCTAAACCAATAATGCGCTCATTCAGCTAAAGCAAAGAAGAAACCAGACCACATTCACCACAAATAAAACCGGCTTCCAAACAAACCATAATAAGAATAAAGGTTTGTCTTTGAGCTCTACCCTTTCAAACACTCAGCTGTAGCATGCTTGTACAGCCAGTTGTTATTGTTCATTAAAAAATCATCTGAATTCTATTTTTATCACAAATGGGAGAAAGCGTTAAAACAGAACAGAAAGTGGGTAACATGGAGCATGGAGTGAAGATGTCAATTTCTCAAGAAAAGGCAAGAGAAAAAAAGGGCTGTGGTCTTGTGTCATAGACAACCAGACCATACAATTCAATATCGGGATTATGTTTTATATATAACCACTGTAGGCTGTGATGAACACTTCTTCCACAATGCGTGTATTACTTATCGTTCTTTGAACACGGGGCGTGTTTGACCCATAGATGATTCTCTGATTAAGCAGAAATATGTCCAATAATAAAACTAGATGCTGATAGTGGAGAAACTTCAACTGGGAAAACCCTGGAATGATTCGCTAAAGGATTTGCAGGAAGCTGGTCACCGTGGTAGTAATAACACATCCTCTTGAGTGTAATAGCCCGTTAGCTTTGTGTCTGATTCTACAGCACAAAGGCTGACGGAAACACTTCCCCACTATACATCTTTGTAGACATCACAACACAATAATGAGCGAAGTGAAGGGGCTTTACCCGGAGCTCGTCTCTCTCCGCTTCCCATCGGTATTTCTCGGCCTGGAAACGTCCCCACTCGTACTGGATGAAGTGCAGGATCCCGGGCAGATTCATCCCCGAGTCCCCTTCGTGCAGCTCACGTAACGGAGACCCAGGCACCGGCCCAGACATAGAGCCAGGCGGCAGGAGGCCCGCGGGAGCCGGCCCTACTGACATAGCCCCGCTGGTGGTGTGAGCAGTGGCCTGGCTCGGTGCTGCTGCTTTGGGCCCATTTGGGTTACTGCGTCCGGCTATGCTGCTGCTACCAGGGCCGCCACAGTTGGGGTTTGGTCCTCCACCCGATCTGTCCGCCTCCATTTTCAAGCCGCACACGTTCCTTAGGACTTGCACTCGGTTTGTGTTATTGTACAAAACAATAACAAAAGTAGCCCGCAGCCGTCTTCTTCCCAGAGAGACACTCCACCATAAGCCACCCTCTTTCTTCCCTTTCTTACGCACAGAAATTACTATTTTTCAGTGCGTAAAATACTACGCTTCCGTCTTTCACACTTCAGAGTAAAAGCTGTACATTTAAGACCCATGTGTTTCCACTAACGTAGACATTTTTACATAGAAAAGGGACATTGTACATCATTCATTTTGTCATCCTTAATGTGTAAAGGATGCAACCAAAATACCCAAGACACTGGTATTTTGGCTGCATCACATGATGTCACTGTCCAGTTTCTTTAATTTACTTTAAATAAATAAAATAGATTCCGTAGCAAAGATAAGTGCGCAGTTATCTTCATTTACAAACATTCAATGTGTCTAGTAATACTGATTTATTATTCTAACTTTGAAAAATATAATTTATGCGCTTTTATTTTGAACAGAAAACGCTATATATTTTGAAACCGGAAGTGCTTGAAATCAGACGCTTGCTGTGCTGGTCGGTTGCTGCTAAATCACATTTCTATGGCCAAAGCAGAGATAATATAACTGTGATTCATTCCCCATCAACTATCACTACCCAGTAAAATGGAGCCCTGATACAGGTATGAATGAACTGCGTTGTTAGAGGTTCATTTCATGTATTCAGCATATGCTATGTGCTTGTGGTTTCTCCGCATATAGTGGATACAATTAGCTAGTTCATTGCAAGTGTTATTACGGCCTGAAATATAATGCTGCTGTTTTCTGGTGTTCTTTAGTTACAGGCATCTTTGTTCTTTAGCAAATTAATCAATGTCTTGTCTAATTACATAGAGTGCATTTTAGTTTTGTGACTCCATTGATCAATTTGACACTGATCATCTAAAAATCTTAAAAATCTTTATAATCCATCAATTTGGTGTTTTATTGTTTTTTGTATTCCTGTTTTCCAGCTTACTCCTCTCCTGCCCTTGAAAGGATCTTCATACAAATGGGTGTCTTGTATTATCTAATGTCAGTTTACCAATCGTGAAAAAAATTGCCATGCGCATTAGTTTCTGTCAAGGCTTGTTAACAGCAGCCATTGTCCTGAACCTCCTTGTTCTGTACTATGTGTCACGGGCGCAGCAGCAGATGTTGGAGAAGAGAAAAGACCTAGGCCGGGGCACCAAGAAGGCTTCAGTGCAGGGGTCAAGTCTTGGAGTGTCATTGGACAGTCATGGTCGAAGCCCTCGTGTCACAACACTTCTTAGAGAGTTTGAAAACTTTGAAAATTATGTTACAGAAGCGGCCAATTCCTTCCTTCGACAAAGACCTGAACTTCCTTTTCTAGTGGTTGCTGACAGTTCTCCTTACCCTCCACTTGTACTTCCAGAGGGTGCTAAACTTCTCCTGCTTGCTCTCAGCCCGGATCAGCCTCCTCAGGCTCATAGGCCTGAGGTCCACATTCAGACTGAGTTTGTCTTCCTGATTCCTGATGGTGTTGAGTTGGAGCAGCCTAGAGTGATTGAAAGACTGATTCGAGAGTTAGAAGGAGAAGGCGGGGGCCCTGTGAGGCTAGTGGCTGCCCCTGTTTTGACTCGATCTGCAGTGCACTGTCTTCACCTGAGAGTCAACCTCCGTGAGTGGACAGCCACATACTCCCCGGCCGCTTCTGGGAGCAGTGGAAGTGTCTGCACGGCTTTACAAGGGGATGCTGTAGTTCTCATGCGCACAGAAGATCTATTTAACCTCTCTGTGCCACTTGGGCGCCCACTTTTCTCCGCCCTTTTTATCCAGACAGCCCTCCGAGGATGGAAAGTCAAGCTGCTGGAGAGCCCATGCTTCTCAGCCAGCCACAGACCTCTGTACACCTCTGCTCACAATCAATGGAAGTCTGACACACGACTGAAGGAGGCCACTGGGAGACTCATGAAGAGTTTTGGATTAAAACGTCTTCTTCTGCCTGAGGGAAAGGAGCAGTGGTTTGGGTGCAGTAAAGAAACCCCAAGGTGCTTTGGCACAGTACAGGATGATACACCAGAGTATTTATACCTCGATCGCTGGACGCCACCATGTTGCCTAAAAGCACTTCGAGAAACCACTAAGTATGTCATTAATATTCTGGAGAGCTCAGGGGTACGGTACTGGCTTGAGGGTGGGACCCTCTTAGGTGCTGTACGTCATCAAGACATCATTCCATGGGATTATGATGTGGACCTGGGAATATACCTGGAAGATGTACCCAACTGTGATCATCTAAAGAATCTAGACTCAGGCTCTTTGGTAGATGCTAACGGTTATGTCTGGGAGAGGGCAGTAGAGGGAGACTTTTACAGGGTTCAGTACAGTGAGGCAAATCACCTCCATGTTGACCTGTGGCCATTTTACCCACGTAATGGTGTTATGACCAAAGATACATGGACAGACCACAAGCAAGATGTGGAGTTTCCGGAGCACTTCTTGCAGCCACTGGTGCCAATGACTTTTGCTGGCATCACTGCCTATGGACCAAACAACCACCGTGCATTTTTAGAGCTCAAGTTTGGAGAAGGAGTGATAGAAAACCCACAGTATCCTAATCCAGCTAAGAAAAGATTGGACAAAAATTTGTTATGAAAGTTATGAAACACTATTTGAAAATAAAAATAACTATTTATTGAGTTACAGAAGATTTTTTTTAACAAAAGGACATTCAAATTTTGAAGACATGTTTTCTGTATGATTGTTATGTGCCATACAACTGAAAATGTATTCATGTGCTCTATATTGTGAGCTGTCATTATAATGATGGATCCCCATTCATCTGTATTCACCTGGTGAATCACTGGTGCACACAGTATGGGTAATGCCACAAACCGCCAGTTCTTGTGTATAGTTAAAATCAAGGATGTTTGAGATAAAATAATGTAGCCATGTGATTGACACGTTTGGACGCTAGGTGGCAGATGAATGTTAAAAATATTGAACACTGTAGTGAATTTGTGGTTATGCCACGTGTATGCATTATAGAACTGTTTCAACTGATATTCTAGAACAAACTACGAAATGGACTTCAAGTAAAATGTATAAACAAAACCAATGGTTATTAAGAAAAGGCATTTATTGATTTGTCTTATGCATGTGCCAGTGGTACCATGTTTTTTACTGGGACACTTAATCATGACATGACATAAAAGAATATTACACTACATTTCAAGCAACAAATCTGAAGCTGGCATTATTTTGTAGATTGCATATCACATACAAGAGGATAACGGATGTGTATCTTTATAAAAGAAGCAATTGTCTTGACCTAAGTGGTACAAGACATTAGATTGGGTTACTTAACTAATACAACATATCACAATATTAGCCATTATATTAAAACCTATTTTTCTTCCAAAACATTACAGTACATGACAAACTACAGATTAACTTATCAAATACAACCACACATCCTTTACAAAAACAAAAACAGATAAATACAAGAGGAGCTAAATCTTTGGAGTTTTCAAGAAGTCAATACAATGTTGAAAAAACATTTGCATTTTTTTACTTTATCTCATTAGGCAACAATGGTTTAGGTCCAGCAATCCTCTGTCAACAATGTATTATCCTTGCAGTTACATTCAGAACTCTTTGTGCGTTGACACAAACCTCTCCATAGATTACAGTGTGCGAGTCCAGCAGCCTGTGGTGGGAGATTTTTGGTCTTGAGTTTGTAGGAACTCAGCACAGTTGTGAAGAAGATTAAACCTGAGTCACAGTGATTGACTTCATTTCTTATGTCCAACAAAATATCCAGAAGTCTTCAGTGTTCTATGGAGGATTTCTTCATTCAGTGAACCTATGATCTTTTGATAAGATTAGAGTATTTCCACCAACACTCTTTCTGACAATAAATATAAAGCTTAGCATCTAGGAAAATATAGACATTGTACACACTTTTGGTGCTAATTTGCATATTAAACGAAAAATACAGGTGAATGCTTTACAAAGGAAATAGAAATTGTTTATATACAAAGAAACACATTAAGTTAAAAAATTAGGCCTCTTGAGACATTTGCATAGTTGAATAAAAAATACATACAAGACATGATTTTGCATTCCCCTTTAGACCATACAATACTAACGGCTTATTAACCGAGCGAGAGGTCTGTATGGAGAAATATCAGACCGCGGCCTTAATGTACAGACCGAGCCGTGGCGAGGTCTGTGCAAAAAGGGCCAAGGTCTGATATTTCTCTGTACAGACCGAGCAAGCAAGGTTAATAAATGTTTTATTATATGACTCTCCAATGCTTTTGAGATATTTGTGAAGTACGTTCATGTCCGACTTGGTTTTGTGTGATACGCGCTGCGGACAGATTGTCATGGTAACGGTCCGAGGAAAGATATCAAATGTGATACGCGCTGTTCGGACCAATTGTCATGGTAACGGTCCGAGATGGGAAAATATCAGACCGGTAATCAGCCAATCAGAGCGCGCGTACGGTCCAAGTCATGTAATAAAAACAAGTATCACCCTGGCATTTTCAGGAGTGCAAAGAAGAGGGGTTTGATGGACAACGTTTTTTCCTTTGAAGTAATGTACTATTTGAAATACCGGATTACATGACAGACTCTTTTTCATTCGGTCTGGCCTCAGCTCCACGTTTCTTGATAAGAGGCGAGTGCTCGGGTGCAGTATCTGTCTGTCCAACTCTGATCTCGTCTAGTTCCTCGCCTCCATTTTTGGACGTGCGGTCGACAAAGTGCTGCAGAAGGCCGGCTCCAAAAGCATCTCCCTCAACATTCAGCACTGTGCAGGTGCGATCTCTGCAAGAAGAAAAACGGAAATGTTTGTATAAAAGACATGTCAGTTTGTTTTGGGTGGAGATACTGAAGGGTTTTTAACTTTGGTTAAAACTAAATTATTGTTCCTCTCACCTCTTGGTCAAAGACATTCTGAATGTGGTGCACATGTTCCCAGCCTTGGACACTTTCATCATTCCAAATTATAATACATATATTTAATACATATACTCACACAATCCAATCTACAGCTAGGATGAGAGAGATGTCATTGGTGGGCAGTCCGATTGCCTCCAGGATGATGGCCAGAGTCAAAACCCCCCCAGCAGGTATTCCGGCTGCTCCCACACTGGAAGCTGTGGCCGTCACACTTTCAACAACAAGAGTATGTTATTCATTGAAAATAAAAATGATGAATTATAATTATTGCTGGGATTCTAGAGCTTACAGGATGGTGATGACCTGGATGAAATTCAAAGGAGTGTTGTTAAGTTGAGCAATAAAGACAGCAGCCACACACTGGAAAAGAGCAGCTCCGTCCATGTTTACAGTCGCACCGATGGGCAGAATAAATCTGCTGATATGCTTAGATACTCCATTTTTCTCTTCCACACATTTCATCATTAAGGGCAGTGTTGCTGAGCTGTCAGACAAAAAGGTAATGAATGCTTGAGTCACTACAATGTGTAACAAAGCCTAAATAGCTAACTCACCTGGAACTTGTACCAAACGCTGTTGCCAGAGCTGTAAAAATACCCCAAAGGAAGGTGTATGGGTTTTTCCTGGTAATAATGAAGTATATCGCTGGGAGGACAAGTCCACCATGGATGGCATGGCCAACCATACAGCAGGCAATGTATTTGCCCAAGCTAGCAAAGAGTTCGCCAACATTGTCCATCTCCACAATCTTACCAGCTACGAGGAACATGATACCGATAGGAGCATACCTGGGGGGACAGAGAGCTTCAGTCTTGATAATACCGTCATTATCTTACACAATGCATTGTCTACACGAACATGTAATACATACCACATAATCCAGGAAACCAGGACCATGGTGGCCTCATTGAACGAGTTGAAGAACTTAATTAGAATCTCTCCTTCATCGCCGAGCTTTCGTAGAGCCACACCAAAGACAATGGCAAACACAACCAGACCCAGAATATTCATACCATCCTGGTCTGTTCCAATGGGGACCTGTAAATACAGTAGGTTAGAATGTATCAATACCACATTTCTTTGTACATTTTTCAGCACTGGTAATTTACCTTTTCTACTGTGATGTTAGAACTTGGATCTGTGCGGTTTATCTTTATGAGCTTATAGCCAGTGGCATACTGCAAAGTAGAAATCATCATTTTAGTCATGAATACGAACTATTACACCTAAAAATGCACTGGGCAACATCTGGTGCTCTTCATCTCTATGGGAATGTTACTTTGCCTGGAGTGCACAACAGTAGGGAATTAATCCCACAGCCGTTTGTGAAGGAAGTGAGAGTGCTGTGCCATCCGCCCCTCCCACCACCACCACCATCACATTCATACTGCCTGTTTCAGGTGGCGGGGGACCCATCCAGACATGCGGAGAAACATGTAGACCTGCTGTGAGCCATGGGCGCTACCAGCCCACTTGTATTTGAAGAAACAAAATGTTTTATTTGTACAATATTTTAAATTTGGATTGACACCTCACTCTACAGTGTGTCACTCCTGCTTAAATTTAGTGAACCTTTAGGTGAAAAGGGGTTAGATTGCCACTCCCAGAAAAACTGAATAATTTAGACAGTAGAAGACTTCTGATCCGCTCTATTGTGAATATAAGGACCTGAGACCAGGAAGAGTCTATACCAGTTGCCGCAAATGTTACACAGTGCTCCTTTAACATAATAAAACTGAGAATTGTGATACTAACCGACTCAAAGGCAGCAGATACCAAATTGGAAGGAAAGATGTTTCTGCAGAGAGAACAAGATGATGTAATTAAATTACAAAAGAATGTTGAATATTGCCAAAGCCAGCTCATATGATTTAGGAGGAGCTTCTTTGACAGCTCACTGCATGGAAAACAGTATCCGTTTGACAATTCATCACATTTCCTATGTATATGGTGAGTCACTCACTAACAAAAAAGGTACAGCCATCATTTATAGTAAAAAACTCAAGTGTCCCGGTTACCCTCAGAATTAGAATTAGTGTAATAAAACATAAGGTAAAAAAGCTCCCTTTCTGCTCTTTCACTGTTCCATTGCAATAATCGTTGCCCGAGGATTATGAATCATGTGACTGACTCTCGACCACTGACACACTTCTGACACTGGTTGCACACAAAATAACTGTCACCTTTTGTAGATCCAAAAGACACATCCAGGTCATTTACTATACTATAATATGTTCTGAGATAGATAATACATGGTGATAAACTCTCGACGTGAGTATACCTGCTGTTACTCCTGTTTCCCGTTTTCATGCTGATAAGAAACATACACAAGATAAGAAGGTCTTGCTATCATATGTTTATGATTAGAGGCCTTTGTTGTGTCGTGAAGCTGACTACCCATTTAAATAAAACAAGAAACTGGAAAGTATATACACAAAAATAGAGCATCCTGTTAATCTGGTCCTGTAATGAGACAGACGTTTATGCACGTGCTTAGCATGAGAAAGCCATTATGGACCTCCCGTTTTTACTGCTGCCACTAATTAAAGGAGAACATGCTAGACAGTGTTTAAATAGAGGAAGTGGAATGACCCCTTCTCTGGGGACATTATGGCACCATGTTAGCTAAAAAAAAAAAATGTAGGAGATTGGCCCATATTCATCCGATATTTAGGACTACCTAAAAATCTGTTATTAACACATTTTGCTCACTTTATGCACCACTGGGTTTTCCATAAATGTTATGTGAAACAGACAAAAAGGTAAAGCCCTGAAACTATGAGAAATAGAGGACTACTCTATCAATGCTGAATAAATCAATATTCAGCAACAGAAATAATAAAAAGAAAACATTAGAAAGTGCAATGGATTCTACATTCTGCCACTTTGCTGCATAAAGAGTTACATAAACAACTTAAACATTGGCAGTATTAGTCGGAAAACACACAGACACAAAGCGGACGTGAAAAGCATGCATTTTTTGTTATTTATTTAGAGATCATTTGTGCCTTTCTATAGTTCATGTTTAGCCGCTGGAAAGAGGCTGATATGACGTTGCCCCTGTTTGCTATAGGCCGCTACAGCTCAGTTAAGACAGTGGAAACAACATCACCCGCGCCATACCGCTCCCAAGTGGACCAGTGGAAAGGAAATACAGACCTTTCAAAAAATGGCTGTACAGTTATGGAGTGAAGCATAAAGTGAGTGGAGATTTGGTGAGCACTATGCTGAAACAATTTAATTGAGACTTAACTGCTGCTAATCAATAGGACATTTTCTCTCTTGTCATTCTCCTCACCCCTGAAAAGCACGGTCTTGTGATGCATCTGACCAGGTTTAACATCTCTATAGCATGGAAGATTTACATGGAATTAGTGGGGATAGGAAAACAAAAGCACCCCTTAGTGCTACAACTGATATGCATAAAAAATAATTGAAAAAAAAACCTCAAATACAGATTTTTAATTAGTAGCCTACTTGTCAATAAATTAACCACCAAGACAGGAACATGTCAAAGTAAAAGAGTCAAATCAAACTTCTGACTTTCAAAATAAGTCTTCTAAATTCTATGAAGTCAGATCGAATACATGCAGGATATTATTGACTAAGGAAAGTTGATTTTTTTTGCGGGACAGGAGAGCAAATGTGACGGCCCAAACTCTGCTTGTTGCCATGTGGCCATTATGCACAGTATTGTCCCTCTGTGACTTGAGTCGTTGTATAGCATGACTCACAAAAGCAACAGGCAATAAAATACTTTTTTTCTGTCTATTCCTGCTTTGGTTGGTCTATGTCACTCTTTTTGAAAGGAATAGGTGTCCTGGGGCTTTGGTCAGTCTGAAAACCCCTTATTTTTTATCATCAGAGGATAATTTAATATTACATTTTGGTAGGCGTCACCACAACAAAGCCCCACGCCACCACGCCACGCTGACGGCCCTGCTTATAGCTACCTCCAGATCTTTATAGCTACATCAAGCAGCAACATTTTTATTCTCCACTTGTGACAACATTTTTACACAGTATTGCTATATATAATAATGGCAATTGACAAGATATACTAAACATTCCTTGACACAAAAGCCCATGGTTATGGCTTGAACGAAGGAGAATAATACTATGAAAACAAAAATAATCACTCCCATTAAGAGGGTACATCATCTGTAGGATATAGAGATGCAGAGGTTAAACATGTTTGGGATAGAACAAGAATAGTATGAAAAGCAGCACTCACTATAATGATCTGTTCAACATTTTACACTGAATTAAATCGACTTTAACTTAATGAGGGAGCCTTTCAGAGCAGAACCTCCACAGGCCGTAGCAAGTGTAGACAAGAAATAAGTAACACAAGGTCTAGGGGCGGGAGGAGAATGCCATACATTAGTGAAACACGTGTACCGACCATGGACTGCTGTGCTACTGCTGATGTAATGTTAAAGCATAGTGTATGTATAGCTTGAGGAGGCCATTGAGACCAGCAAAGAACATATTGTGATACTGTAATTGAAACTGATCATCGGCGTAAATGTTTATCTCCCTGCTTTACTTTTCATCGAGGCCGTGGAGCTATAATCCAGGAACTAAGCCTAAGGCAACCCGAGAGAGGCGCAACCATGATGCAATGACCTACAGCCATTACAGTAGCTTGCTATTGTTAGTCAAAGTTACACATACATGAGGCTGGGAACTTTACTCAGTTACGGGTACTTCCTTTTGAGCCCAGTTGAGTTCAGATGAAAACGTGGTGATCGATCCGCGCCAACTGAGACACGTCTATAGCTCAGAGCGTCCGCTGTCCTGCGCTCAGCCCTGGACCTCGGATGTACTGTAACATCTCACCTGATCAGGTCCAAGAAGGAGTCAATGATTTCTTTAGGTGCTGGTACATCGTCGTCCAGTCCCGCTATAATTGGTTTAGTTCCGGTCACTGCACCCGGTTTTATGATGAAAGCCATGATCACTCCGATGGACGAGGCGATTAACGTAGTGACGAGGAAAAACAGCATGGCCCAGCCGCCGAGCTTTCCCAGGGCTTTGGGGTCAATGCTGGCCGCCCCGGACACCAGGCTGCACACCACCAGGGGGATGATGATCATCTTGAGCAGCCGGATAAGAATTTCTCCGGGGAAGCCAATGTAGATCTGTTGGGTCTTGGTGGGCTGTGCTTCACGTACAGCCAGTCCAATGATGACCCCAATGATGACCCCGGCCACGGTGAGGATGACCAGCAGGTTGGCCCTCACTATCCGCTGGAGCCGCTGTGACAGGGGCTCTGGGCTCCTCTTGTGCGCCTCCACTCCGTTCAGCACCGGCTCGTCGAGGTGCGCTTCCCCGTTGGACGTCTTCCCTTCGTCCATGTCTATCTTTTCGGCCATAGTTGTTAAAGTATCCCAGGTGTAGGCCCGTGTGTACAAAAGTTGTTGTTAGTGTGCTAAATGTAAAGCAGCGAGCTGCCCCACACACAGGATCTAAAGGGTTTTCCTTCAGCGTGCGTATTGCCCTTATCTATCTGCCCTCGCAGGCTACGGGCTACCCCCACCCCGTGACGCAGAGCTGGGCGTGGACAAACTGTATGGACAACAACCCATCTCAAGCACAGACAGAACTTATATACAGTCTATGGACAGAACACATGCGACGTTTTAATAAGGTCCATCAGACCTTATTAAAACGTATTAGAAACGCATATATATATATGCGTTTCTAAAATGCAAATCAAGTAAACTATAAGTTGCATTTACTTATTTCATCCAAACTTGATGGACATATGGATGAAATGATGGATATATATATATATATATATATATATATATATATATATATATATATATATATAATCATTTACTTTAGATCAAATGGATTTTAGCTCAGTGTTTTTGTTTTGTTTTCTAAGTGAAGTGATGGGAGAGTCCAGCTGTGACCCGTGTCTTTGAAATGATCTCCCACGTGTGTGTTTATTTTTCCTTCTATGGAATTTGTTTGAGTTAAGCATTTTATATTTTCTTCATTTATAACATCAAAAGGTCTGTGAGGGGACCCTCTGCATGCTACAAAATAATATTCACTTAACATCTGGTGAAAACATAACAGTAGGTCACTGTTTCTCAAGCTGTGGTATGTGCGCCAAATCAATACATGTATTCAGAAAATCTGAATCTGAAGTTTTTGTTTGATCAATCATTAGCTATGCACATGTTCCTCATTTTAGAGTATTGCTATATTACAATCCACACATTAGCAATCATTCAGGCAACTTCAGTTGAACTGCTTGAACCCAGTTGATGAAGTGGTTTCATAACCCGTATAGGTTTGTAAAACACAAGTTATTGACTTGTGTTTTACACAAGTCAATAACTTTTTTGTGTGTTATTGACTTCCCCCCTGGACTGCCACCTTAACGTGGTGGGGGAGTTTGAGTACTCGGATGATCCTGGGAGCTATGCTGTCTGGGGCTTCATGCCCCTGGTAGGGTCTCCCATGGCAGACAGGTCTCAGGTGACGAGTCAGACGAAGAGCAGTCAGAAGCCAACATGGACAGCACAAAAAGAAGAACCGTGACGTCGCCCGGCATGGCGCAGCCGGGGCCCCACCCTGGAGCCAGGCCTGGGGTCGGGGCTCGAATGCGAGCGCCTGGTGGCCGGGCCTTAGCCCACGGGGCCCGGCCGGGCTCAGCCCGAAAGGACGACGTGGGCAGTCCCTCCTGTGGGCCCACCACCCGCAGAGGGGTCCGTGGCGGCTCGGTGCAGAGAGGACTGGGCAGCAGTCGAAGGCGGAGACCTCGGCGACCCAGTCCGCACACCCAACATCTGGCTCTTGGGACGTGGAACGTCACCTCACTGGGGGGGAAGGAGCCCGAGCTTGTGGGGGAGGTCGAGAGGTACCGACTAGAGATAGTCGGCCTCACCTCCACACACAGCTTGGGCTCTGGAACCCAACTCCTTGAGAGGGGTTGGACGCTCCACTTTTCTGGTGTTTCTCGCGGGGAAAGGCGGCGAGCTGGGGTGGCCATACTCATTGCCCCCCATCTCAGCCGCCACGTGTTGGAGTTCTCCCCGGTGAATGAGAGGGTCGCGTCCCTCCGCCTTCGGGTGGGGGACAAGTCTCTCACTGTTGTGACGGCCTACGGGCCTAACAGCAGTGCAGAGTACTCGGCCTTCTTGGAGTCCTTGGGAGGGGTACTGGACGGTGCACCGCCCGGGGACTCCGTCATTCTCCTGGGGGACTTTAACGCCCATGTGGGAAGCGCCAGTGACACTTGGAGAGGGGTGATCGGGAAGAATGGCCCCCCTGATCTGAACCCGAGTGGTGTTCAGTTGTTGGACTTCTGTGCTAGTCACGGTTTGTCCATCACGAACACCATGTTTGAGCACAAGGGTGTCCACCAGTGCACGTGGCACCAGGACACCCTAGGCCGGAGGTCGATGATCGACTTTGTTGTCGTATCATCTGACCTTCGGCCGCGTGTTTCGGACACTCGGGTAAAGAGAGGGGCGGAGCTGTCAACCGATCACCACCTGGTCGTGAGTTGGATCCGCTGGCAGGGGAAGAAGCCGGTCAGACCTGGCAGACCCAAGCGTGTAGTGAGGGTCTGCTGGGAACGTCTCGCTGAGACCCCTGTCAGACGGATTTTCAACTCACACCTCCGGGAGAGCTTCTCCCAGGTCCCGGCGGAGGAGGGGGATATTGAGTCTGAGTGGACCATGTTCTCTTCCTCTATCGCCGATGCGGCGGCTCGTAGCTGTGGTCGCAAGGTCTCTGGTGCTGGTCCCGGCGGCAACCCCCGAACCCGGTGGTGGACACCGGCAGTAAGGGATGCCGTCAGGCTGAAGAAGGAGTCCTATCGAGCCATGATGGTTCGGGGGACTCCTGAGGCAGCTGTCCAGTACCGGCAGGCCAAGCGTGCCGCGGCCCGGGCTGTTGCAGAGGCAAAAACCCGGGACTGGGAGGAATTCGGAGAGTCCATGGAGCATGACTATCGGTCGGCCTCGAAGAGATTCTGGCAAACTGTCCGGCGCCTCAGGAGGGGGAAGCAGTTCTTTGCCAACACCGTGTACGGTGCGGGGGGTGAGCTGCTGACCTCGACCGGGGATATTGTCGGACGGTGGAAGGAATACTTTGAGGTTCTCCTCAATCCCCCCGTCACGTCCTCCGCTCCGGAGGCAGAGGCTGAGGATGTTGGGGCGGATACTTCTGTCACCCTGGCAGAGGTCACCAAGGTGGTTGGCAGCCTCCTTGGTGGCAAGGCGCCGGGAGTGGATGAGATCCGTCCTGACTATCTAAAGTCTCTGGATGTTGTAGGACTGTCTTGGCTGACACGTCTCTGCAACATCGCGTGGCGATCGGGGGCGGTGCCAATGGAGTGGCAGACCGGGGTGGTGGTCCCTCTCTACAAGAAGGGGGACCGGAGGGTGTGTTCCAATTATCGTGGGATCACACTCCTCAGCCTCCCTGGTAAGGTTTACTCCAAGGTACTGGAGAGGAGGCTACGGCCGATGGTCGAATCTCGGATTCAGGAGGAGCAGTGTGGTTTTCGTCCCGGCCGTGGAACACTGGACCAGCTCTACACTCTCCATCGGATACTCGAGGGTTCATGGGAGTTCGCCCAACCTGTCCACATGTGCTTTGTGGATTTGGAGAAGGCGTTCGACCGTGTTCCCCGGGGTGTCCTTTGGGGGGTCCTCCGTGAGTACGGGGTCCGGGGTCCTCTGCTGAGGGCCGTCCGGTCCCTGTATGACCGGAGCCAGAGCTGTGTTCGCATTGCCGGCAGTAAGTCAGACCTGTTCCCGGTGCATGTTGGCCTCCGCCAGGGCTGCCCTTTGTCACCGATTCTGTTCACTGTATTCATGGACAGAATTTCTAGGCGCAGCCAGGGGTCGGAGGGGGTCCGGTTCGGGGACCACAGGATTTCATCTCTGCTGTTTGCAGACGATGTTGTCCTGTTGGCTCCAACGAACCAGGACCTACAACATGCACTGGGACGGTTTGCAGCCGAGTGTGAAGCGGCTGGGATGAGAATCAGCACCTCCAAATCTGAGGCCATGGTGCTCGACCGGAAAAAGGTGCCTTGCCCTCTCCGGGTGGGAGGGGAGAGGCCCTTCCTCAAGTGGAGGAGTTCAAGTATCTCGGGGTCTTGTTCACGAGTGAGGGAAGGATGGAGCGTGAGATTGACAGGCGGATCGGTGCAGCGTGCGCAGTGATGCGGTCGCTGTATCGGACCGTTGTGGTAAAGAGGGAGCTGAGCCGAAAGGCAAAGCTCTCAATTTACCGGTCAATCTTCGTCCCCTCCCTCACCTATGGTCATGAGCTTTGGGTAATGACCGAAAGAACAAGATCGCGGATACAAGCGGTCGAAATGAGCTTCCTCCGCAGAGTGGCTGGGCGCTCCCTTAGAGATAGGGTGAGGAGCTCAGTCACACGGGAGGAGCTCGGAGTAGAACCGCTGCTACTCCATGTCGAGAGGAACCAGTTGAGGTGGCTCGGGCATCTGTTCCGGATGCCTCCTGGACGCCTCCCTGGGGAGGTGTTCCGGGCATGTCCCACCGGGAGGAGGCCCCGGGGAAGACCCAGGACACGCTGGAGGGACTATGTCTCTCAGCTGGCCTGGGAACGCCTTGGGGTCACCCCGGACGAGCTGGAGGAGGTGTGTGTGGATAGGGAAGTCTGGGCGTCTCTGCTTAGACTGCTGCCCCCGCGACCCGGCAACGGATGAAGCGGAAGAAAATGGATGGATGAAGTTATTGACTTTTTATTGTATGCAAATTAATAGACTAGTAAGTAAAAATAAACACCTTTTAGTTACATTTCTACATCAATCGTACATCTACAATTGATGAATAGAGCTTTAGTTCCTTTGATAACTGACAAACATTACGTTTAAGAGTGAATACAATTGGCTGATGATATATTTATTAAAATAATTAATGATGAGAACAATTATTTGAATACAGGAATCGTAAAAGAATTATGGGTGGCAAAATCACTCAGCTTTTCCCTCTGGTTTAATCTCATCCTTTTATAAAAACTTTTTTTCCTCAGATATTATATTGTTTCCTTTTATGATGATGAAGAAACAGAGAAGTCAGAAGTTGAAATCAAACGACATTTTATGACTTTGTGTACTGCCACTAGATGTAACAGGAGCCTTTCTTCCTTTGTGTGTGGACTGAGAGCCAGTGTCTAACCGTTATAAGTTCTGAAAGACTTGGCTTATCTTACTTCAAACAACAGCCCTGCTCTTTTCACTGCGGCCCCTGCACCAGTGGAGGCTTGTGGGAACAGTGCTCATAACGCCAGGCCCTTCACACCAGAGCTCAGGCAGATTGCAAGCTGTTCTCTCTGCTGCGGGTTTGTTGGCTCAAGCTCATTCTTTGTTTCT